GGCCGTTGAGTTCCCGGCGGAACGGATGGCGTCGCAGTTTGTACCGGTCGTTCAACGCGGAGTTCTGCAGCAGGATCCAACGGCTACTGGGTGGCCGCAGTTTCTTCCTCCAGCCACACAAACTGAACGTATACGGCGAAGGCGCACACTTCGCCAAGCACAAGGACACCATCCGTGACCCGCGCATGGTCGCCTCAGTCGTCGTCTGCTGCCCCACGAGCTTTGAAGGGGGCGTGCTCTCACTCGTAGACAACCGTGGCATTCAAATCGACTTCGACTGGAGCCAGTCCGCCCTTGCGCCTGAAAACAACCCCGACAGAGGCAGCGCCGACGCAGGCGGCACCGACCAGGTCATGAACTGGGCCTGCTTCTTCTGTGACGTGGACCACGAAGTCTCGCCGGTCACAAAGGGCACCAGGTTGACACTGACGTACGACGTGTGCATCGAATCCACTGACAGCGAACGTGGCGACAGCAAACGTGGCGGTGGTGTCAAGGCGGAGGTCGAGGAAAGGTCGGGCGAGAGTTCGGGCGAGAGTTCGGACGAGAGTTCGGACGAGAGTTTTGGGGACCAGAAGTTCGAGGTTGAGCAGAAGCCTGAGGTTGAGCAGGGCAAATGGAACGAGATAGCGGTTCAGATAGCGAGCAAGGTGGAGTCTCGCAATGAGGAGCAGTTGTTAATCCTGTTGGACAAGCTGAACGGCGCGCACCGCTACGGTTACTATCCGGCGCATGATTACGCTTTCGGGGCCACAGACACTTGGACGGGTGAAAAGGACTGGGAGTCGCAGCTGAAGGGTGTGGACCTGCAGGTGTACAGAGCGTTGACGAAGCGTGAGTGGGTCGCCAAACTGTTAGTGCTATACGCCGACTTGGATTTATACGGACCCGCGGTCCACTTCAACGTCGGCCATAGCCCTGACGACCCGGTGAGCATGGAGGATGCTATTGACTTCGAAGAGTTGGAGACGTTGCGAAGCATTACCGAACTCCGAATGATCAATATCCCGCAACGAGATCCCTCTACCATCTACCGCTACTCATTCTGGTACGGGTACACCGGTAACGAACCCATCGAGAAACGAGACTCGTACTACGCTCGAACCGTCCTCGTTTTCAGCAAGTCACCAATCACAAACGACAAAAATCACACAGCGTTGTAAGCGCATTTTTTGGGGGGTACCTTCTTCTCCCATTTGGGCCGTGTGTCCCCACGCCCAGTGGCGCCCGTAGCCGGGCGGCGTTCTTGTTGACTACGCACAGCACAACAGTAGGTGGAACTGTACGGAAGGCTTCAGTTCTTGTTGCTGCCCATCCATTGTCGCGGGTTAGGGAATGTTCTGGTTCGTCTGCGGCGTTGCATGTCTTTTCGAGCCACGCAACAGATTCGGCTTCGTCAACAAGTTGTTCATCGGAGAGGCCGCTTTTATGGAGCTTTTTGGATTCCTTAGACGTTTCGTCGCATGAGGGGAGGAATTGCAGCTGTGGCCACCCGGCCAAGGAGCCTTCCTTGGTTTGGGTCTTTTTGTAGCTGGTGCTAACGCTGGCTTCAGCTTCATCGAACCTGAATAGGCTCAGGGCGTACTCGACATCCATTCGTGTTTGCATCAGCTGTTCGGCGATGTCCATAAACGTAATCTTCATCTGCTTCGTCGGATCTGTCACCAACCATTCTCGGTCCAGATTGATGAGGTTGTAGGCAAACAGGAGTTGTAGGAGATACAGAAAGGTGGAAGACGCCCCACACAAAAAGCGGCCCCTCGCAAACCCAGGGAACCGGATGGCGAGTCCATCCCAGTTGGCAGTGTGGTGGCAAGTAATATCCCCTCTGCCCTATTCCAAAAAAACTCTGTCACGACACTCGCCCCAGAAGCGTTTCGCACCGATCCCGCTTTCATCCGGTCTCATCCCGGCTTCGGGGTTT